CCTCCAGAGAGAGAATTGATGAACTCTGAATGCAGATTGAGGCATAATGTTTTTGTCTTTATTTTTGCTGTTTTATTTTATGTTTTCTTTTGCAACATGGATATAGAAATATGGTTGGCATGACCTTACATGTGTAATCAAAAGCAAAGTGCTTGCCTTTTCAAGGAACAAGGAGGGAGTGAGGGATGGAGAGAATTTGGAACTCAAAATTATTTTAAATGATTGTTAAATTTTTTACATGTAATTGGAAAATATTTAATGAAACTAAAATAATTTAAAAATAAAATAAAGATGTTGGATTCAGTTGATACGTTGGTTAGTTTTACTGCTTTAAAAAAGACATCTTCTCTTTCTTATTTTTCTGTCATGAAATGGCTTACTGGGTAGAGGTGGGAAAGGGGATACATTTGTAAATGATGGGAATATACAAACAAAAGATGCCAACAAAAAAAAACTTGTTTAACAAAAAGAAAAAATAAAGACACAAGGAAGAAAATCAGGCCCTCTATATAGTCCTTTCACAGTGGTGAACACACAGCTGGATAAATGATAGCATTCATTTTAAAATTTTTGAGTTCTAAATTTTTTTTTCCCTCCCTCCAGTCATTTCTCCTTCCATTGAGAAGGCAAGCAATATGATACCCGTACATATGTTGTCAGCCGTATTGCCAAAAAAAAAAAGCAAGAAAAATAAATTGAAAAACTATATGCTTCGATCTGCACTCAGAGTCCATCAGTTCTCTGTCTGAAGGTGAAAAGCATTTTTCATCATGAATCCTTCAGAATTGTTTTGAATCATTGCATTAATCAGAGTAGCTGTATTTCACAGTTGATCATCATGCAGTATTGCTGTTACTATGTACAATGTTCTCCTGGTTCTGCTCACTTTACTTTGTATCAATTCATATAAATTTTTCCAGATGTTTCTGAAACCATTCCCCTCATCATTCTTAGAGCACAATAGTATTCCATCACAATCATATACGACACCTTGTTCAACCATTCCCCAATTGGTGGGCATCCTCTGAATTTCCAATCCTTTGCCACCACAAAAGGAGCTAATAACCTTTATTATTATGCTCTAGTATCAAGAAACCCAGGGTACATTTTTCTATGCTCCCCTAGTTTACTTATGATATCACCCTTTATGTCTAAAATCATTTATCTATTATGGCCTTCTCTTGATAAATGGTGTGAGATGTTGGCCTGTGCCTAGTTTCTGTCAAACTGCTTTCCAGTTTTCCCAGCAACTTCTGTCAAACTTTTGTCTCCAAAGTTTATCTTTTTCTTTGAGTTTATCAAACACTAGATTAGTATGGTCATTTCCTACTGTTCTTTGTGTACCTAATTGATTCTACTGAACCACCCAGCTGAGCCACCAGCAGTACATTGCTGTTCTAATTTTTACATATCCTCTCTAGCATTTCTCATTTTCTTTTTCTGTCATGTTAGCCAATAAGAAAGGTGTGAGGTAATATCTTTGAGCTATTTTAATTTGCATTTCTCTGATCAGTAATGATTTAGAAGCCCAGCAGCCTTTATTCTAGCATGGGGAGTTCTTAACCTTTTTTGTGTCATGGACCCATTGGACAGTTAGATGAAGTCTATGGACTCTGTCAGAATCATGTTGTTAAATGCAGAAAATAAAATATATAAGATTATAAAGGAAATAGATTATTTTGAGATACAGTTATCAAAATATTTTTAAAAGTTCTTGATGCAGAGTGAAGTGAGCAGAACAATTTATATAAGAACAATGGTATAAAAAACCCCCCGTTAGGCTTTTTGTGTAGGCTAGCAAGTGCCACAGTGAATGGAGTACTGGACCTATAGTCAGGAAGAACTGAGTTCAAATCTGGCCTCAGCCACTTAGTAGCTGTGTGACCCTGGGCAAGTCACTTAACCTCAGCCTGCCTCAGTTTCCTCAACTGTAAAATAGGCATTATAACAGCACCTACTTCACAGAGCTGTTGTGAGGATCAAAAGAGATAATATGTTTAGAGTGCTGACCATGCTACATAAATGCTTATTCTTTTTCTTTTGCCATACCCTTTCAATTTGACTGCCCTGCACCTGGCTGTTTCTTTTCTACTGGCTTTGCCCTCTCATCATCTCTTTTCTTTTCCTTCTGATGGAAGCTTTTTTTTTTCCTTTGCTAGGCAATGGGGTTAAGTGACTTGCACAGGGTCACACAGCTAGTAAGTCCCAAGTGTCTGGGTCCAGATTTGAACTCAGATCCTCCTGACTCCAGGGCTGGTGCTTTATCCACTGCACCACCTACCTGCCCTGGAAGCCTTTTTTAAAATGATCTTTAGGACCTCCAGTTAGTCTCTTGCTTGACTGATACAGAAAAATATAGGTGCCAGAGGCCAAATATGGGTCCTTAAGGGGCAGTGTTGAGTATGGGCACAAGTAAACATCTGCTCTCTGTCATTTGGCATTTTCTCATATATTGCTTGTTAAAGGCAGCAAGGTGGTACAGTGGTTAGAGGGTTGGGTCCAAAGTTAGGAAGACTCCTCTTCCTGAGTTCAAATCTGGCCTCAGACACTTACTAGCTGTGTGACCCTGGGCAAATCACTTAACTCTGTTTGCCCCAGTTTCCTTATCTATAAAATGAGCTGGAAAAGGAAATAGCAAACCATGCCAGTATCTTTGCAAAGAAAACCCCAAATGGGGTCATGAAGAGTCAGACATGAATGAAATTACTGAACAACAACAACATATAATGTTGCTTGTGGTTTTAGTTATTGGCTTATTTTGTATGTTTTCTTTCACCATTTAGATCTACACTCTTCTATTCTATTTTACACATTTTCATATCACCAACACTTGGGCTGTTCCTGTGAGTTGTGTATGTCCAATAAATGTTTTAATAATAAATGATATGTATAGAGCACGTTAAAATTTGTGAAGCACTACATTGTTCTGTTGAGAATTTCACAACCTTGTGACATAGGTATCAGTGATATTATTAGCCCCATTTTACAGATGAGGAAACTGAGGCATAGAGAGAGGTTAAGTGACTTGACTAAGGTCACATGGCTAGTGAATGTCAGAGGCAGGATCCCTCTTTCTTCATGTTTCTATCCAGCATGATAATATCCAATACTCTTCCTCAAGCTGCCTCTTGAATGACTAATTAAAAATAGTATCTACTAATGAGTCTTCTAAAGCTGTCTCTGTCTGGTCTTCTTTCCTTATCACTCTCTCCTGGTGGCATAGGAGATAGAGCACTGGGAGTGGAGACAGGAGGACCTGAGTTCAAATTCAGCCTCAGACACTTACTAATTGTGTGATTGGCAACTCATTTAATTTCAGTCTGCCTCAGTTTCCTCAACTGTAAAGTAGTGGTAATAACAGTACCTATCTCCCATGACCTTTGGGAAGATCAAGTGAGATGATATTTGTAAAGCACTTAGCCCAATGCCTGACACATAGCAGGCACTATATAAATGCTGATTCTTCTCTCTTTCTTCTTGCCCCCGCTCCTGGAGTGTTCTCCTTTCTTATCTATACTTCCTAGCTTCCCTGGCGTCCTTCCAGACCCTTCTGCAGAAATAACCAGAACTACTAGTGTCTTCCCTCCAAGATTATTTTCCATTTGCACTGCAGATAACTGATACAGATGTTGTTATTTGCATGTTCTTCCCCCCATTACAAGGTACGTTTCTTGAGGACAGGATCTTTGCATTTGCCAATCTGTGTATTCCTAGTGGTTAGCACAGCATCTGGTCTGTAGAAAGTCTTTAATAAATGCATGTTGACTGAATGGCAATGCATAAATCACTTTACAAAGCCACCGATCGTAATAATGATAATCGACATTTATATTATGCTTCAAAGTCTATGAAGAACTAGCATGTAGTAGTAAATAGAATGCCAAGGTTGGAACTAGGAAAATTTGGGGTCAAAGTCCATCCCTGGAATTTATTAGCTGAGGTGGGTACGTGGCCCAGTGGAAAGCATACTGGACATGGAGTCCGGAAGACCTGCCCCAGATTTTTACTAGTTTTATGACTCTGGGAGGGTTACAACCTCCCTCAGCTTTAGTTTTCTCCTCTGTAAAAAGGGAACAATTATTGCACTTACCTCATAGGGCTGTTGTGAAGATCAAATAAGATAGCTATGTAAAATGGCTTGCAAACATTAAAGCACTCAAAATGCTAGCTAATATCATTATTATAACCCTGGGCAAGTCATTTAATCTCTGGTTGTAATCTGAATTTTTGAACGCAATTCCCACATCAAGAATTCCCTACAAGGATGAAATTGAAGATTCTTTGTGCATTCAGATTTGCAAAGTGTTTTAAAGTACGTTACTTCATGTTATCTTTCCAATAAGCCTTTCAGGTAAGTACCACTGATATTTCTGTCTACATTCTACAGATGAGGAGACTGAGAGTCAGAAAACATAAGTGACTTTCTCATGGTTACATAGCTAGTGTCAGAGGTGTGATTCAAATACTGTGTAAAGTGGGCCCTTCCCTTGTTCTCAACTTGGATTAAATGCATTAGTCTGACCTAGGAGTCTGCAAGAACAATTATAGTTGTCATAAATTATCAACTGGAAGAATACTGGTAAGTGCTTTTTTTGGAAAATTATTCTAACTCAAAATTTATACTGTCCTATGTATATGTTCAATATATGTCCTATGTATATATGTATATATTAAACAGCACACTCTTCTGAAGTCCCTTTTCCTTAACAGACACTATAATTAGTTTAGAAATGGTAATGAGGCTCTCAGCAGAGCAATCAGACACAAAGACATTTCCCATAGGAAGGTGGGTAAATTCTTCCCTGAGGCATTGGGAGAGAGAGGGTTAGGAGTTCCTATCTAGCCATTGGCCATTTCAGACAGCCTCCTCTACTTTGAATATTTCCCACATGGCAAGGTGCTAATCTATGACCTAGTCTTTAAGGTAAGAAAGGACCAGTTTGCCCAAAGGGAGATTAGGATATATTTCAGAAGAATTCTGAGCACTTGGCTCAACTTACCGAATTTGTAAAATGGCAAAGAGAAGGCTCTTTGGTAAGTGGTTTCATTGTACCACCCCTTGAATGGTTGTTGATCCTTCCTTCGATGACAAATGTAGTTGGTAAGGCTTATTTGGTCAAACTGAACTTGATAAGAACTTTTTGGCTGGTAATAAGGTCTCCAGTCTTCAGGATGCCTTAAAGAAAGTAGGAAGAGCTTGTTGAACACATATCATATAGGTAAGCCATTCTATTTGTCTAAGACTGACTCTGACAAGCTTTTATTCTTCCCAGAAGCAGTTGTTGGGTTTATCACTTTTAATAAGGTGTCAAGTCTTCGAAGATTCAGTATTTTTAGTGACTCAATTAAATTCTGTTCCATTTCATTCAATAAGCTTTATGTGCTCCTATGTACATGGATCTATGCTAGACATGCCCAATTCTAGCATACATACATACACACATACATACCTATATTTATATATACATATACATACAAAATAATGAGTGGTGGTAACAGTAGTAGTGGTGGTAGTGAGGGGACGGGTGAGATCAGTAAAAGCTATGGAGCTTAGGGAACGTCTTTGAGTGAGTTGTGTTTGACGTGAGCCTCAAAAGGAGCAAGTGATTCTAAGAGATGATTGTTGTTTGTCTTTCATTCTCAAAGAGGATCATGACATCAGGAGAGTGATGCCATGACTTGCAAGTGAATTGGATTTAAGTGAGGGAGGGCTGTGCAAAGTCACCATCCTCACTCTCTCCTCTGGAGCCATCAGAGTCCAGTGGTAAGATGACTGGAGATGGCCACTCTAAGAGATGAAGGTGTGGAGGGACCTCTTGTGCAAAGACATGGAGGTGGGAGATGAAATATCATGTATGGGGAGCAGCCTATCTGTTAGTTTGGCTGGAACATAGAGAGTTTGAGAGGGATTAAATATGAAATTAGTCTGGAAAGATAGATTGGATCCAAAATGTGAAGAATTTTAAATGCCAAACAAAGAATTTTAAATGCCAAAATGTGAAGAATTTTAAATGCCAAACAAATGGCAATAGGTAGCCATTGAAGTTTCTTGAGCCAGGGAGTAATGTGATTAGATCAGGGCTTGAGAAATATCAGATTATATCTAGAGCTGAAAGGAACCTTGGAGGTCATTTAGTACAAACCCTTCATTTTTACAGATGAGCAAGCATGATAGGGAAATTACTTGCCCAAGGTCACATAGGTAGTAAGTGGTAGAGCTAAGATTTGAATTTTGGTCTCACAACTCTCAGTTCAATTCTTTTTCAACTATACTATGTGGCAACTATGTGGATGAAAGAATGTTGGTGGGATAACTTGGAGACAGGAAGGCCAATTAGGAGACTATTGCAATAATCCAAGTGAGAGATGGTGAAAATCTGAATGAATGTTTTGGCCATGTGAGTGGACAAGAGATTGTTGAGGTAAGTCTACAAGAATTAACAACTGATTAGATGTGGGGGTAGATAGTTGAAGGAAGTAAAAAAAACTGAGGATCAATCTGAGGTTTCAAAACTGGATAATTGGAAGGATAATAGTATCCTGGACAGAAATTACAAAAAAACCCCAAAACAAAATAAAAAGATTTGGAAGAAGGTTGAGTTTAAAGAAAAAAAAAGTCATGAGTTCCACTTTGAACATGCTGAGTTTGAAGTGCCAATGCAGGCAACTAAGGGCTAGATATGTGGATTTGGGTATTATTCACAGAGACTATAATTAAACTCATAAAAACTACTTATATCTGCAAGAAAATATAAATAAAGAAGAGAGTCTTAGACAGTGCCCTAGAGCACACCCATGACTAGGGAGTGGGATATGGATAATGTCTATGCAAAGGAGACTAACAGTTTGACAGGAAAAGAACCATGAGAGAGTAATATCAGGAAAATTCGGGGACAATATCTAGGAGGAAAGGAAGGTCAATGATGTCAAATGCTTCAGAGGGGACCTTGGATGACATAGCCTTTGCTCTTGATATCATGGATCATTAGGGCTAAGAGGGTCTTAGACTTAGAGTAATGTGATAATGATCCCCCATTGACAGATGAAGACACTCAGACCCAGAGAAGGAAAGTGATTTGCCCAAAATAAAATTAGGCAATTTTAAACTTGCACTAAATTAATTCTTGCATTTCCTTCATGAAATTCTTTGAAATTATAAACTAGGAACTTGTCTCACCCAGGCGGTCTTTGAAGTTCCTTAGCATGATGGATTTTTGCCAATTGCCCAGTATAATATCCATTGATGTACTTTCCTTGATGAAGAATACACAATCTGGGGGAGAAAGCACAGAATTAGCAGAGAAACAATATTTTGAGAAATGTCATATAAATAGTTTAAGAAGTAAGTCCCATCTTTAGTACAAAGAGCTTTGTTTGGGAAGGAATAAGAAGAATAACTGGCAGTTATATAGGGTTTACCAAAAGTCCTAGTGAGGTTGTAAGCTTTAATAGTTTTAAGCTATTATCTCAGAGCTGTTGTGAAGAATCAAAACCTAAACCTGGATGAAGACTTTTGGGACAAGCTGTATATCACTTCACATACGTCATCTCACTTGATCATCATCACAACACTAAAGTTAAGTGCTGCCATTATTTTTGTCCCCATTTTACAGATGGCAAAACTGAGGCTGATAGTGAATAAGTGACTTGCCCAGGGTTACACAGGAAATAAATGTTATAGGCAAGGTTTGAACTCAGGTATTCCTGGATCTAAGGCTAGTATTCTATCCAAATGCTACACTGTCAGGGGAAGGGATCAACACGAAGAGCTAGCTGGAAAAATGAAACATTAGAAAGGATTCATGCTAAAGATACACTTTAAAAGCTTATTTTTTTCAAATATTTCTTATATATGTGTTTTATTTAAAATAAAATTTTCAAAGAAGTCATTGTAACTATTTAATAAATGTGAGCTGAAATTGTCTTACCTCCCTATGGCCCCCAGCCACTTCCCACCCTTAATCTTAGCTAGGCTCCATTCTCCCTTGGTCACGTGGTCCAGGTTGCTGGCATTCTATCACCTCACTGTCCCCCCAAACTACTTGGCCACTCCTAGATCCCTGCCACAGTCTTTCTGTGTATAAAGTCCATCTTGTCTCCATTAAGGTGCTCAGATTCTTATAATCTAGCCATTGCTCAGTTTCTTATAATTTAGGCAAAAGCTTACTAATGTTCAAACTCCTTAACAGTCTGCCCAATATGATGGATGTTCTAATAAACCTTATCTTTGGCTGAAAAAAAAAATAAATGTGAGCTGAAGTAGTGTGAAAGCTGACTAGTTTCAAATGTAAATTGATCAGTTAACCACCATGTCCTTTTAGAACATGTCCTGTGCCTTCATGGAGTTTACAATTTCATTAGAGAGGCATAAATAACAACAACAACCAAAAAAACTATATCACAAACTCCTTACTAGACTGCAGATTCCTATTGAATGGTAAGCTTCTTGAGGGCAAGGACCAATTTCTCATAATCAAGGGTCTGATAAACCTGAGAACATAAAGAAGATTCTCCCTGTTTGACAAGAACTCCTGGAAACTAAAAAGAATATTCTTTACAGAAATGAAAGAAAACTTGAATAATTAGAAAGATATTAATTACTACTAATAAAAATGCCATTACTACCTAAATTAGTTTACAGATTCAGTGTCATACCAACCAAACTACTAATGGGTTACTCTATAACACAGGACTGTGTAAAAATTGTACCTTCTTCTGATCCCCCTGACCACTTACTTCCCTCCTCACCACCCCTTCTAGTTGATGTAGTGAGTTATAAATAGCTAGTATAAAGTAACAATAGTAGGGGCAGCTAGGTGGTGCAGTGGATAGAGCACCGGCCCTGAAGTCAGGAGGACCTGAGTTCAAATCCGACCTCTGACCAAACACTTGACACTTACTAGCTGTGTGACCCTGGGCAAGTCACTTAACCCCAATTGCCTAAAAAGCAAAAAAAAAAAAAAAAAGTAACAATAGTAGAAAGTACGATTGCAGAAGGGAACCTATTAGTCGCTAGCAGACTGTCCCATAAATTAAGGGAGCATAACAGTTACCTACAAACTGTCTCATAGATTAGGAGAGCATAGGAGCCACTGGAAACTCTCATACATTAACTAAGGCCACATCCTAAAACTATGTGCGAAATGAGGGGAAGCCAGGTAGACTTTACTGTAATGGACCCTCAGTCCTGCCAGATGCTCATGTAAGCTTCAGATAAGCCCTAGTAAGACCAGCAGAACACTAGCAAATATAATGCTAATGAATTAACCCTAAGGTGTTGCAGGTAATTTTGGGATGATGTGTCTATGTTAATGAACTAACCCTAAGGTGGCATGGATAGTCCCTTCACCACCAAAATCCTATAAAAATGAGACCCCAGACTCCTGCTCTTTTGAGCACTCTTCCATTTGCTACAGTTCCATGCATCCTGAGTGCTCCCAACTCTGATCCATGGTTATTTGACTATCTGTGCCCTTTCTCATTCCTATTGTCTTCCCCATGCTGCCTGACTTCCTCTACCATCCCACCCTGTGTTCCATCTACTTCTGCACCCCTGTGCTGTTTGCCTCTGTATTCTCTGTACTTTATTAAAGGGTGATTGAAGCATTACTCCCTAATTGCTGACATTATGGTTTTTCCTGGAGAGTATACAGAGAACTGAGCATACTTGCCCCCTATTTGACACAGAAGGACTCTCTTGCAGTCCTATTCCCTTAGTCACAATTATTAATTCCATAAATTAATTGGCAATTTCAGAACCAAATTGTAACAAAATTCATCTAGAGAAATAAAAGGTCAAGAATCTCATGGAAAATAATGAAAAAAAAGTGGGCAAGTGGTGGGCCTAGCAGTATGAAATATCAAACAGTATTACAAAGCAATAACCGTAAAAGCTATTTGGCACTGCTTAAAAATAGAGAGGTTGAGTAGTATAACAGAGAGATATGCAAGATTCATAAGCACCCAAACAGTAGCTTAGTGTTTGATAAATTCAAAGACACCAAATATTGGGTAAGGACTCATTATGTGATAAAAATTGGAAAATAATCTAGCAAAAATCAAGTTTAAACCAACATCTTGCATCATATACTACAATAACTCCAAATAGATACATAAAAATATAAAAAGTCACATCACAAGCAAATTCAAGTGGCAGGGAGGAGATTCCTTTCAGAACTGTGGGAAGGAGAGAATTCTTGACCAACCAAGACAGAGATGATCACAGAAGAAAATGAACAACTTTGAGTACATAAAAACAAGGCAATTTAGCAAAACAATGTGAAAAAAATACCGCAAGTCATTAATAAGAGAAATGCAAATGAAAGTAACTCTGAGGTTCCATGTTACATCCATCAGATTGGCAAATATTTTCAAGGATGAAAAATGGAAAAGATTTACAGAAATTATGTTGACAAACTGTTTTCTCCGTCAAGGCTAGTAGAAGCTTTGTACTTGGACTCTATCCTCACAGTCCCTAACGTGCTGGTAGAAGAGGTAGAACAAAGCTAGGATAGTTAGATCCAGTATATGTAGAGAAGATCCATGCTGGAGGAAATAAAATTGCAAACGGATTAAGGGACCAAAATACAAGACTTTGAAGGAAGGGAAGATGCCAAGGGAGGGGAAAAAATCTTTGACCCCCCCCCCCAAAAAAAAGGTGACCAAAAGAATGTCAGTAACTACTGTAATAAGTGAATTTCTGGCTCAGGCTTTTTTGCTAACTGTGCTAAGAAAAAGTCAGCCACAGAATCTATCTTGAGCTTCTTGACGTTGTTCGCCTGAAGCAGGCAGGTCATTTCTCCTACTGAAGTTTGCAAAAAATCAAGCTTGAGACATAAAAAATAGCTCTAGGTTTACCAGCTAGTTCCATGACCTTCCTGATACAGGTATCCCCATTTTCCCCTTCTGTCGTTTGTTTCCTGATGTGTAAACCTTTCCCTTTCCCTTCTACTCTTTATAAAATTCCATTGTATCCATTCTGCTTAATGTACTCACATTCTATATAAGGTTGCTGAAACTGATACTCTAGGCTAACTGAGTGATTGCTAAGATTTCAGTGCAACCTAAACTCTGAGCATAGTAAAACTGCAGTTCTTTCCTGTCTCTGCAGTGTTGATTGTTGATTGGCAGCAGTACTTATCAGCAGATTCTTGGGACATTTTTGTCACACTACCAAACCTATCCCCTCTCCCATTTTCTTTATGAGAGTTATATTCCTAAGAATATCCTTAATAAGGTAATTAGTTGGGAAAGGCTTTTTCAAGAGATATTCAACAATGGATCATGTTAACCTCCAACAACTGAAAGATGTAGAGATTATAAATCCCAGCATGCTTATTGTTTGCTGATTATGAAAAAGTATTTGATTCAGCAGAACAAAATCCCACCTCATGGACTCTTTTACAGCGAGGTGTCTCCCGTCCATAATCAAGATTGTTCAGGATTTCTTGGAATATTTAACAACAGAAATAACCTCTTCAATGATTGAAAGAAAGGAAATGAGTGCTCACCAAAGTCATTTGGCCCTGAGATAAAGGAGATATAGGACAGAGTTCTATTCAAAGAAGGATTCCCTATGGATGCTGAGATCCTTCAGATGCTCTTGCTCTTGTGAGTGTGTGTCACTGCTGATTTCATAAAGCTCTAGGATATTGCAAAGCCTCTTGGGAGAGAACTTTGATCACTAAAAGGACTTTGGCTTGACCATTCACAGAAGAAAGACTCAGTGGAGAAGAGTGTCTGTTGCTTGAATTTCAATACACATTTGGATGGACACCTTGCAGCACTTGTTGAATGGTACATAGATTTGGGACAGACAGTATTGATGAACAATGAACTGGGCACAGAGTTAAAAAAAAAAAAGGAGTAGACTAGTTGATTTTGAAAAATTACAGTTCTTTTACTGACCTCTCCCCATTCCCTGAGGCTTCCTATGAAAACAATGACTCATCTTTTCAATACTACTGTTTTACCATTATGGTCACATGGCAGCAAGAAGTGGAACACTACTATCTGTGAAGAGCTATAGATGAGTATCACACAAAGAACAATGAAGAGGCCCATGGTGGGTGTAAGCAGACTGTAGTACGTAAGAGATGAGGAACTCTGAAGAACAAGAATAAAGGCTAACATCCAGGAATTGGATGACAGGAAGACAAGATGAACTGCTCACATGGCAAGAGTAAAGGATGGCAGGTAAGACTGATAACCAGAGTGCTCTGCTTGTGCCCTAGCAATGTTGGGAGAAATCCAAGAAGGCCTCTAATCTGTTAGATGGACCCTAAGTGGTGAACTTTGGAGAGAACATGAACAAAAATCACATAAAATAGAAAGTCATGAATTGGCATGATTTTGATCATTGAATGGAATTCCTGAATTAATGAGATCTCAAACCATTTGAGAATGAAGAATTCAGAGAAGCAACCCAATGCATGTAAACTGATGCAAAGTGAAGCAAGTTGAACCAGGAAGGCAATATACATATTGATTACTAAAATGCAAATAGAAAGAACAATAGCAAAAAAGAAGGAAAGAAAGAAAGAGAATACCATGTTATTATAATGACCAAGAAGCTTGGTCCTAGAGAAGAGTTTAGAAAATGTATTTTTTTCTCTTTTTTTGCAGAGGCAGAAGGGCAGGGGAATATAGGTGCTGTGTATTACATAAGTTGTCATATTGTTGATTTTACTCAAAAATTTTAATCTTCTTTTAAAAAATTTATTACAAAAGTTAGTTTGCTTAGTAGGGAAAGTAGGATAAATATACTCTGAAATGAAGGTGATATCAAAACAAAAGAAAATATAAAAATATATATTTTAAAAAATAGGTTGAAAGTGGCAAATTCCAACTCATCCAATGCAGTACATTATGTAACAATTCAATACATATCTGTTGAGTGGATAAATGAATGAGACCAACAAAGTGTAGAGTGGTCAGGGAAGCTTCGTGGAAGTGGTGGTGTGTGAGCTAGTTTTGAGAGATTAATCATAAGATCATATACTTAGTGATGGAAGTCACCCAACAGATTATCTCATCCAATGTTATTTTACAGATGAAGAAACTGAGGCCTAGAGAAGTTAAGCAACTTGACCAAAAGTAATGAAAGCATTCCTAGGAATTTAAACTCAGTTCTTCTGACTCTAAATCTAGCCCTCTTTTTATTGCTCCAGGATGAGTAAGATCTGAAAAGCCAAAAGGGATAAGAGAAAGTATCCCAGGCAAGAAAACCTGCATGAGGAAAGACATGGAAGTAGGAGTAAGCATCACATTGGTAGGGTAATGTCCAATTTAGAGTAGAGAGCCCAAGACAGTGTATATAAAGGGCTTGTCTGTATAAATAGAAGCACGGAGGAGTTCTGGTTTTCCAAACAACCTCAGGAAGTCTGAGCCTGCCTAGTGGTTGGAATCATATGATAGGATCCTAAGAGTATAAGCTAGCAGGGAGAGTTTAGTCATAGGATGGGAGATGAAGTGGAATAATGGTAGGGAATAGATGACATTTATAAATATGGAAAAGAGGAGGAAACTGACAGCTTCCGTTGGAACCAAACCCCTGCTTATGTGAATCATAACCTCCATGAGACTAGAGACCTGGAACAAACAGTCTAGCAGCCTGAGTGGCTGAAGAAGGCTCAAAAAGGTTCTGATCATGCATTGTAATTATTTTAAAAATCCACATGACATTGAAATGGCCTTCTCAAGAAAGTTGTTTTTTTGACATTGAAAAACTTTAGAATTCTGATCATTGCAGTGATCAGTTATGACTTTGGACTTCCAATCTCCTAATCAGCAGGTGGCAGACTATCAGTAACAGTGAGGCATACATTTTTAGAGGTAGTATGATGATTGATTTAGCCATTGTAGCTATTTACTTGATGATATTGGTAGTAGGTGGAGGGGATCATTAGCAAGTGACTATTTTTTAAAGAGCATAAATAAAAATATTTTAAAAACAAAAAAAGGAAAGTTTTTTTTTTCTTGGTTTCTTATGCTTGTTTCTAAGAGGGTACGACAAATGAGAACTTTATTGAAAGCCACGTCTCCCAGTTGGCAAAATGCATTGTTTTTTTTCCCCTACAGTTATAAATACTTAGAGGTGAGAAGGATCATTCTGTACACAGATGATCAATATTATCAGATGGCTAATTGACCAGACTGAACAGAGATAGAGATGGACAGACAGACATCTTTTATACTCCCTCTACTCACCCAGCAGAGCATGGCCCAGGGAGCCCCTCAGTCATGTCCTGGGTTCAGTGATACTTGGTCAATGGGCAGGATGGTTGGTGAGGGGCAGTTCCTCAGTTGGGAGGGGGTACCAAGTGCCAGCTGATGCCCTCAAAGAAGGAAGAGGGATATCTTGGAATGGGCGTTCGCGACTTGCAGTGTCTGGGAAAAGCCAAGGTAGGCATAGTGGTCTCTTCACACATTACTCAGGGCAGTGCAGGCAGACTTGGGCAGCATGAAAGCTGCGAGGTGGACATCAGGATTGTATTATTTGAAATTCATTTTCTCTACTTACTCCTGCATCAGCTGCTGCACTGGTTCCTGGAAATTAGTGGCCAGAGTTTTACTGCAGAGCATGAAGCTAATCTGGCCACTGGGGTAGGTGGGTATGGTGCAGTGGGCATATTCCACAACAGGGAACAGAGACTTGCAGAAGTGACACATCTCCTTGATAAGGTCCAGATGCAACCATTGACATTCACCTTGACAGCAAAGGATCCCATCATCTTTTAGCGCTGTCTTCATCAGCTGGTAATACAACTGAGCAAACCCTTGGCAGGACTCATGGAGACTGACGAGTCAATGATGATGACATCAAAGATGTCCTGGTTCTGCTGCATGAATTCAAATCCATCTCTAACGTGCAAGGTCAGCTTCTAGAGTAGCTCCTGGCCATGTCCCCTAAATATTTCTTAGAGACTTGGATCACACCCTCGTCAATCTCACACTGGACCACAGACTCCATGGACTGATGCTTCACCATTTCCCGAAGGGTGCCCCAGTACCCACCACCAATGATTAGCACCTTTCTTGGGCTGGGCTGGCTGCAGAGGGGTAGGTTGGCAATCATCTGGTATGAGAATTCATCCCTCTCTGTGCACTGGATGACTCCGTCCAGCATCAGGACATTGCCATAGGTCTTACTGTGGAAGACCAGAATCTCCTCATAGCTGGAGTGCTGGTGGTAAAACATCTCTTCCACCTGCAGAGGCATGGCCCAGCTGAGCCAAAGTCTGCATGTCTCCTGGAACCAACCTTCACAGATGGTGGTGTGCCCTGGGCTCCATGGCTAGGCTGGGGGATGCATAGGTGACTGTGGCAATGGGGCCAGCAACTCCAGCCAATCTGCCCTCTCACCCTCCCTAGCCACCTAAATGCCCTGTTAGTGCAATTAATGATTGAACAAGGAATGTCACTCATGCACAGTATTACCTACACACAGCTCTGATTATGAATCAAGAATCTATGGAGTAAAAATGCTCCATAGAAATATAGGGTGCTTTTCATGGGACACTATGATGTCATTAATTGAATGTTTATAAATGTAACCCATCTCAACCCCAACCCTCCCCACCACCCAAACAGTCTAATCAAATGATTTCAGCTCTTAAAATATTGAGAAGATTGAGCTTCTCTGGAATGTGCTCCCTCAATTCCCATCCTCCATATCTCTCTTAACACAGGGCCTGGCACATAGTAAGTGCTTAATAAATGCTTATTGATAGATTGATATACCCGGAATAGTTGCTACAGATAGATAAGTTGGGCCCAATCTGAAATCAAGAAGCAAAGTGGGCTGTGTTGCCCTTGAGAAATTGTGCAGTGCTTTTAATGCTCTGAAGCCACCCCAACAAAGAACTTAAAAGTTGTATAAAGAAGAGAGAAGGTAATAGGGGATGAATATGGACAATTCTAAGAATAATATCAGAAGTGTTAGAGCTCAGAATGAATGGAGTCTGGGGAAAAAAGCTAAAGGAAATGGCAGGTTTTGTAGCTATTTAGGAGAAAGAAACCTAAGAGAAGGGATAGGACCACAGCTCAGGGTGATAGGACAATGAGAAATGGCAAAAGAGAGAAGGCAAAGCTTCTCAATTTTTGTTTGCTTTTATTTTCTCTTCCAAAGAGAATGACAACTGGTCTGGAAAGAACAAAACGAAAAAGGCCAATAGTTACTGGAGTTCCCAAGATTATGAATGTAATTAGAGAAGTCTTAATGAGCTGAAGTTACCTGACTGAAAGGCCTCATGAGAAGATGGCCTATTCTGTTCCCCATGGGACAAAGGCATAGAGTCAGCAGCTGGAATGCTCTGAAGTTATGTTCTTATAGAAGCAATCAACTCTGCTAGGTAGGATGTTCCTGTTAATGTGATTTGATTTTTGAAAAAGAAATACAACCAATATATTTTTCTGTAGTGACACATCTCTTCCAAAAGAGACAAGTAGAACAAGCTGAACACAGAGTGTAGAAAGGGAATAGTATGTCATAACCCTGGAAAGTTAGGCTGGAGCCACATTATGAAGAGCTTTGAATGCCATGCTAAGAAATGTGTGTTTAATTTTAGCAGTAATAGAGAGGTACTGAAGCCTATGTAGTCACTGTGAGACTTAGGATCTGGGCTGAAGCATCGATGAGAATCGAAACTGAAGGTTCTAGTGTAGCGACTATGGCCTTTCTAACCTAACTATAAAGTGAAGGCTTACCTTATGACATGTGAAATATCTAGAAAGTGTTATGGGGGACTTCTATAATACCTATCCCTTTTAAGCTCACAGAAGGTACCCACTCAATGAATGTGTTTACTTTATTGAGGGTTAATTAATGCTGTGACTCTGGGTTGCCTGGGAAAAATGCAAGAGTCTTCTTTAGTCTTTCTTTCAAAATTTCTCAAAAAAATAATAGAAAGATTAGAGACCTATTTATTTTGTGATTAACAAATGGCAAGAGGTGATGGGGGTAGGGAGCTCCAAGTTTCCAGTTATGGCTCTCCTGAGGCCAGACCAATAGTCATTCAAAGTGGAAGGATTTGTGAATTCAATGAGCAGAACTAATGGCTTGACCATTCATGGAGCTTCCATGAAACTGTGCCAGCCATCCAAAAAGCCCCACTATTGGCATTTCCAGCAGCAACTAATTCCAACTAATCAGTTGGGAATCATCTGTATGATTCCTCTGGTGTGCATCTGCTCATCTCAAATAGGGCATTGGGAAGATGCACCTATACCAGTAAGTACTTTACCTGGGATGCTGGACAGGCTTGCGATCCTTGAATTCTCGTAGTCTTATGAAAGACATAGTGGATAGAGGCCTGGGTGGGAAAAATTTAATGTAAAAGGTGAATATTTGTGTTTGAAAAATTTTTTTTAAATTGTCTATTGAAAGACATTAAGACACAACCTCGACTCTCCCCGGTTACTTCACAGAAGAAAAATGACACGTGGGATGACTAGCCTCTTCCAGGAAATAAGAACATTCGTCTTTGAGAATACCTAGGGAAGGACACAAATGGTGAGGTAAGTAATAGTAAAACAAATCCTAAGCCAACAAATACAGATTGTGCTTTATGGAGGCTCATTCTACTTTTAAAAGTCTAGATTTTTGCACGTATTGGAAGTGATTTTTTCACTTGATGAAGCATTCATCCTTTCATTTAACAAAGAGTTATTAAACACCCATGATGGACAGCACACTGTCCTAGATGCTGGGAATACAAAGATAAAAGCCAACTCCTGTTATCCCTTCCACATTCCGACTATAGCAGGTTGGCATAAAAAATTAAAAGGGAATTTTTTGGGAGTTTTACGGAACCGCAGATGACATGCAAAGTCTAGCAGACATACAGAAAAAGTTTAGAAACTCAGAAATGCATAATATATACATAGTATTATATAATATCAGCATATTTTACATTTTAATAACATAATAATTCAGACTTCTCTGGTACAAAAGGAGGGCCAAAACATTTTATGCAGATTTTCCCGATGGAGGAGTGCACTGCACCCTTAACCTCCATGATATGGAAGGAATAACTGTAGTTTCTACCTTCAAGGCATTTACATCCAACTGCAATTAGATGGCTAGGCCCTCTAGTATGTTTATAAGCATACCCAGGGTAAGAGACCTGCTTCAGGTGAAAATATTTTGCATTCCCTTACCAAATGGGTGGGACCAGCCTTTTCCCACTGGCTATGTAGCTGGAACAGTCTTGGGTCTTCAAAACTACCAGACTGAGACAATCTCTCTTTCTAGCTTCATGCAAGGGAGGCAAAGGTCCTATTCATCCACAGCATAGGGACCGCAAACTGAGCTGGATGAGAGGAAGGAATATCTTTCCTTCCCTCCTTTCAGGTCCTATGGCTCTGACAAACAGGCTTGTGGTTTTGTTGTTCCATTTGTCCTATTCAATTCCAAGCACAAGGTGTGGAATCTCCCTAGACCGAGTCTCTAGGCTTAGGGACCCATTAGTCAAGATTCCAGACTGTATGTGCAGACAGATCAGCGGGGAAGCTCTGAGAATCCAAGGTGTGTAGCATTAGTCAGGCAGTCAATAAACATTTATTAAATGCTTACTATGCACCAAACACTGTGCTAAGCACTGGGAAGAAGCACTCCTCTTGGACATAGCTGGAAAGAGAGAGAAATTGCCCCAGGCTGGATGTGGGAATTTTCAAGATGCAGCCTGTTCCAGCTATGCTGTCAAAGGAGAGAGGCTGTTCTTATCTACATGGTGGGAGGACACAAGATTGTCTTCTCCGAAGACAATCCTGGCATTTCCTGGCATTTCCCTTATGGGTGTCCATGTTAAGTGATCGACACGTGTAAAACAAAGCCACATTACAGCTGCATAAATGATTGTAATTCACATTTATATGACCATATTAGAGTTTGCAAATCACTTCCCTCACAACTGTTTGAGGTGAGTAGTATGGACTATTCTCATTTTATGGTTGAGGAAACTGAGGTTCAGAGGCATTAAGTGAGTTGTTCATGGTTGTCAAGCTAGGGAGGCTAGATTTGAAACTAGTTCTCTCCTGACCCCAAGCCCAGCATCCATTCTGATGATACACTCTGATGCCCTGACCAATGATTCAACTGACATATATTTTTCCAAAATTTTAAAAACATTTTTATTTAAAGTTTTGAGCTCCAAATTCTATCCCTTCCTCCCCACACCCTAAGATGGTAAGCAATCAGTTATAGGTTATACATGTGCAATTATGTAAAACATTTCCATATTAGTCATTTTGTACAAGAAGATTTGAATAAAAGAAAAAAATTAAAGAAAGTGAAAAATAGCATGCTTCAGTTTGTATTCAATCAGTATTAGTTCTTTTTCTGGGGGTGGGTAGTCTGCTTCATTCTTTGGGATTGTCTTGGATAATTGTATTGCTGAGAATAGCTAATTCATTCACAGTTCTTCATTGAACAATATTACTGTTAGTGTGTGCAACGTTCTACTGGTTCTATTCACTTCCCTATGAATCATTTCCTGAAGTCTTTCCAGGTTTTTCTGAAATCATTCTGCTTGTCATTTTTTACGACATAATAATATTCCATTACAATCATATTCCACAACTTGTTTAGCCATTTCCCAATTGATGGGCATCCCTTTGATTTCCATTTCTTAGATACCACAAAAAGAGCTGCTATAGTTTTGTACAAATTTGTCCTTTCCCTTTTTTTTCAATGTCTTCAGAATATAGACCTAGCAGTGGTATTGCTGGATCAAAGGGTATGCACAGTTTTATAGCCCTTTGGGCATAGTTCCAATTGCTCTCTAGAATGGTTGGATCAGTTCACAACTCTACCAGCAGTGCATTAGTGTCCCAGTTTTCCCATATCCCCTCCAACATCCAACATTTTCCTTTTTCGTCATATTGGTCACTCTGATAGGTGTGAGGTAGTATCTTGGAGTTGTTTTAATTTGCATTTCTCTGATCAATAGTGATTTAGAGCATTTTTTTCATGTAAATATAGATAACTTTGATTTCTTTGTCTGAAAAATGCCTATTCATATCCTTTGAGCATTTATCAATTGAGGAATGACTTGTGTTTTTATCAATTTGACTCAGTTCTCTACATATTTGAGAAATGAGGCCTTTATCAGAGATACTTGTTGCAAAATTTTCCCCCAGTTTTCTGCTTTCCTCATAATTTTGGTTGCATTGGTTTTGCTTGCGCAAAAACTTTAAAATTTTATATAATCAAAATTATCTATTTTACATTTTGTAATGCTAGCTATATTTTCTTTGGCCCTAAATTTTTCCCTTATCCATAAATCTAACAGATAAGCTATTTCATGCTCTCTTAATTTGCTTATGATATCATCCTTTATGTGTGCAAGGTAGTATATTAGGTGCTTTTAATATATTATAACCAAACACTGACATAATCCAAACCCCAAAATCAACACTTTAGGCAGGGTTCTTATGGAAAAACTGTCCCTTTTACATTTTTTCTTACCCTCAAGTCTGTGAACTCATTTATGTATACATATATATCATATGCAGTATTTGTATGTATTACATTTATATAGATTATATATAAAACCACTTTAATAGTTATATAAGATATATGTAGATATAAATCACACATGACATATTAATAGAATTGGTTTCCTTTTGAACCCCATGTATTTTGTTTCATACATTTAAAAACATCGTTTTGAAAATGGGTTTATTGGCTTCACCAGATTGTTAGAGGGGTCTGTGACACAAAAAAGATTAAGAACTGCTCCTCTAAAATCATGTTTTCATAGAAGCAATGAACTCTGCTAAGCAAGGGTCTGCCTGTACAATGTGATTCAATTTATGAAAAATATATAATCTGTACACATCTTCTCTGTAGCACATCTGTTGTGTTAAGTGAGGCACAGTTGTACTAAGTTCAAAAGAAAAAGCTAATTTTCCCTTTAGGAACTAAAAGAAGTTCAGCATTAGTAAGCTGATGATAAATTCTTTGGCAGCCCATAGAACAGAGAAGACAGCATGGTCCTCCATCCTGTTCAGCCCCCTCTAGCTCTGCAGCCAAGGGGCAGAGGGCCAGATAAGAGCGCAAAGGGTACTAAGAATCTCACCATTTTTGATAGTCTGTAACATGGGTAGGGAACCTTAAACTTGACTGTGGGTATTCTAAATGTGAGCTCTTTGTCCAGTGACCAGTGAGTGGTCATACTGTTGGAGGAGCCGAATAGTATTAACCTTGACATTCATGCTATAATAAAGCCAGAACACAAAAGCAAGTTTCAGGTAATGGAAAGAGGCCTCTCGGCTTCTCTTTGGGGAGGCCAAAAACAAAAAAAAAAGTTAGTGAAGTTGGTTTGATCAAGTTGGCCCAGGTGCTGTTGGACATACACAATATTCCATCTCTTATCTCTATGCCTTTGCCAGGCTGACATTTACGTCTCAACTATATTCTCTCCTCCATTCTTTGTCCTAAAATCCCTAGCTCCCTTCACACTCAGCTCAAGCCATGCCTCCTACAGAGGCCTTTCCTTATCCCCACCTCCCGGCTTGCTAGCCTTCCTTTGATTCTTTGTAATTATTTTTTTGTTTACTGGGTATATAGTTTGTGTTATATACATATACATATATATATGTATATATAGTTTCCTCCAATGGAGTATAAGTTCTTTGTTTTGTTTGTGCTCTCCAGCATCTAGCCCAGTGCCAGGCATATAGTAGGTGCTTAATAAATGCTTGTTGATTATCCTGTGCACCGATGCATAAGAAACATCTTTCATGGGACATCCCATATTGCATGGCTCAAGATAAATATTTGTAACAAAACATTGAAAACTTGTCTGTGACTACCCCTTCCCTTTGATGCCTTGTGATTGCATTCAAGGTTTTGTGTGATTATATTAGTTGAAGTGGAGGGTACAGGGTAAGACTTCTTTCTTGACATTAATGTTTATATGGTGTTTAAGTTTTCTATGGCATGTTACAAATATGCTGATACCCTCAATAACCCTGTGAAATAGGCGATATAGTTATTAATCCACATTTTACAGTGGAGGAAAGAGAGGCTGAGGGATTTCTCCAAGGTCACATACAGTGATAATAATAAGTATCTGAGACAGGATTCAAACTCAGGTCTTCCTGATTCAAGGCCAGCTTTCTATCCACTGCACCAACTAGTTGCCTCATAGAGCTATTTCACCTATAGTCGGTGAAAACATCTGACCTGGGTAATATCCTGCTCATCCATTAAACCCTTCCTCCTCTTCAATCCTCCCCCACTAAGTTACTGCCTTTCCCTTCTTTGTCTCCTCTCAGAGGCTGAAACTATGGGTT